ATCTCAAACTTTTCATCTTCAGCACACAGCGCAGCTCTCGGCTAGAGCTGAAGGAACACTGAGCTGTCTAGCAGGGACTCCAGGAACAGCCCCACGCTATGTGAGCCGGGCATGTCTGTCACATGCACTACTGTCTTTACAATCCTGGTGGCTGTGCTAGCCTACTCTGACAAGACAGGTTGTCTGGACTGTGCTGGGGCCCAGTGATCGTAAATACAGTGCCGAGTTCAGCTGGATGTAGTGTCAGACGCAGATCCCTGGAGCTCCCCACCTGCAGCTCTTGATCAACTTCGAAGGGGAGAAAATAAGAGGAGGGTCAAACCTATGCCCACTCTCTCCACATGGCCTCAGCCTCATCCTTCTGGGCTCCCCGTTAGCTCCTACAACTCCCATCCTTTCCACCACGTTCTTTTTCTCACTGCTTCCTCCACTTGAGATGTCTCTCTCTCTGTCTGTCTTGTAATCCAGAATCCACTGTATTTCAAGTCCATGTTCAGTCAACTTCATGACTTCCAGGAAGCCGCAGAACAATCCATGCTAATCAACCCTGTCTACCCCTGCATGGCCCGGCGTGCCTCCCCAAGTGCCCAACGCTGAGCCACTCTGGCTATTTCAGTGTGTTTCCCTTGACTTCCTTTAGGACCTGGACCATCATCACCTCACAGAAACGTCTTTCCAAGGTCAGCAACCATGTCAGCCACAGTAAGCGCCAGTCCTGGCCCCACGTCCATGTGCCCACTCCAGTGATCCTCCCCAGACCTCATCCTTCTTGATTCTGGACGAAATGTCCCTCATCACTCCCCTTAGAGGCCCTTATGCCATTTTATATAGATGGTTCGATCTAGACACCACCCTTTCTGTCACTATTGTGTGGGCTCCCATCTGTGCCAACTCTGGACCCTGCTTCTGTTGCTCCGCCCCATCCAGGGAGAACCTTCACCCACCACTGACTTGCCCCTGCCTCTCAGAAGCAGTCTCCTAACCTGCACCCAAGTCTCTTGGAACAGCTGTCGCGCCGTCTACTTCGGCATGCCATGCTAAAATTCATTCCACAATTATTTGTTGAATTGCTATGAGAGCCAGGAGCTTTTCTAGTCTTCAGTGAGCAAACTGGTTATATAAAACCAGTAATGTACTCCTTGCCAAGAGCCCACAGACAAACACACAAGCAAAATGTGGTATATCCATACAACGGATGATCACTCAGCCCTTAAAAAGAAAGGAAATTCTTATGCACGCCACAACACAGATGAGCCTGCATGGAATTCTGCTCAGTGAAAATAGGCCAAAGATCGGTACGGCAGGATTCTACAACCTGACGTTCCTAGGGGAGTCAAACCAGAGACGTAAGCAGAGTGCGGACTGCCAGATGCTGGGGCAGGAGAACAGCAGGAGGCAAGTTTCTGTTCTACATGAAAAGGGGCCCAGAGGTTGCAGCACTGTATTAAGTACTTTATCTACTGAATTATAATACACCAGAAACTGGAAAGACAGTAATTTTGAAGATATGTGTAGTTTACCTTAATAAAAATATATATTTTATTCCTTGTCCTATGTGTCCTTTGAAGGCACTGTTGTCCTCACAGGCTTCGTGCTGGAGAGCCAGACTGCAGACTGGTTCTTCCAGGTGTCCTCCTTCCATCCCTTCACCTGCACGGCCAATCCCCAGGCTGGTACAGTGGTCGCCAGACCGCTCCTCTTCCCCTACCCATGTCTAAACTCCACCATCCTCTTGAAGGCTTGCACCTCAGCCCTCCTCCTTTCCCTGCTCCACGAGTCCCAGAAGCTCTGCCTTCTGCAGAAACAGAAACGCTCTTCGGTGCTTGTCTCCAGCGCTGGGTCTGGACTTGCTGAGCAACCTCGTGTAAACTTCAGCTTCCTCATCTGTCAAAGGAAGGCTTTGGCAAGACCTTCCCAAAGGTGCCTGTGGGCTCTGGCTGGGGAGAAGCGTCTGGTCTAGTCTGGTGTATTCCTTCCGGGCACTGTGAATTGCCCAAAAAGAAAGGCCTCATTTAGGAGGGGAGCCCAGCCCAGGCCACGGTTCCCTACATGCATTCCTTGGCTCTCTCTCCAGCTGCCCTAAACATCCCCTGCTTGTACCTTGTGACTGGATTACCTGACCTTGAATCCTGCCAGCCCTGCACTCTTGCTGAGACCTCTGCTGACCCAACTGCCCATAACTGGGACAGCCTCGCCTGCTGTTATGCAGAGCAGGCTTCCCTACAGCTGCACAACAGGGTGCTGCCAGCTGGGCGCTCAACAGCCCTGACCACCACCACGGCCCCTGCTGATGCACCTTCCTGGGCCCTAGTCCTGCCAGTGTCCATGGTCTGCTCAGTGGAGAGTACTCTGCGGTGGTTGATTCATTCATTCTACAAGTGCTCACTGTCATGTCCACTCCAAGACAGGTACTGTTCCAGGCAAAGACACAGCTGTAAGACAGCAACTGCTTCCCATACGAACACATCCCACGGCCAGGACAAAACTCCCTACTGGACAGAAACATCACCTAATTTGCCACTGTCAAATTCTTGCATTTGACAGGTACTTACTGAACACCTGATGGGAGCCAGCCACTATTTCAGGCGCTGTAATAACACAGCAGTTTTGAAGTACAACTTTCTATGCAGTACCACGATTAACAGTATGGGCTCTGCGAGAAGGGAGGGGCCAGGAGAGGAGGAAGGAACAGGCCTGATCAAGCTGCTACAACACGTGGACACACACACGCCAGGACGGATGTGTTCATTAGGCATCACAAACACATACTACTGAAAAATTAATAACCTGGATGTCAGTTGCGTGACCCTAGGCAATCACAAAGCTTCTACAAGTCTGTTTCCTAACTTGCAAATGAGGTAATGAGAGCGAGAACGAATCAGGCGGTCTATGTAAAACGCCTGCGACACTGCAGCACAGAGCCCATGCTGCAACAGCAAAGGTGCCAGCACTTAATATGCCAAGAACGTCAAGAAATGCCATCCCACCCCACGTAGCCAGTATCCCAAGTTCCTCTGCAGATGATATTGATAAATGTGGCTCCAACTTCATCACCAACAAAAAACACACGGAGAGGCAGATGCAGTATGATGGAGAAAACATGGGCAATATTTAAATTTTTATAGAGCTGGGGGCAGAACTCAGCAGCACAAGCACCTGCTTAGCAAACACAAGGTCCTAAGTTTGATTCCTAGCACAAAAAACAGGCATAAAAGAGGACTGAACAACAAGATAAATGCATTTGAAGCAAGGAGGAGTATTTTGAGAGGAATTAAAGGTACTGTATCTTTTACTGTAATAAATATATGTGATACATATATACATATATGTGCATATGTATATGACAAAATATAAAGAACCTCCTATAAACCAATAAGAAAAGTACAGGCAGACTCAGTATATAATTGAGCAAAAGATGCAAATAGGAACTTGGCAATGAGGAATCCCAAGTGGACAGTATCATTAAAGTGCTTATTTATTTATTTTATATATTTGGTACAGGGTCTAATACGCAGCCCAGACGCACGGTGAACCCCGTTTCAGCCTCCCCAGTGCTGAGATTACAGGCATGCGCTCCCACGCCAGGTCTTAGTGGCCAGCTCAGTGCACCCCAGAGTGGGGCTGGCGCAGCAATGTGGTTTGAACTTCCATCCCTGGCTTGCCTAAGCAGGCGCTTAGTCCGCTGAGCTATCTCACTGGCTCTTTAAAATATAGATTTAGGCCACAGTATATCATTCCATAGCTATCAAAATAGGTACAATGAAATGGATACAATAAAAAGGGGGACAGTAGCAAATACTGGTAAGCACTTGCAGCAATTAGGAAAATTCCCCGAAGTAGGGAATTTTCCTACTTCACTCCTAGGGGGTAAATGGTTCCACTGCTCTGGCACTATCTTATTATAACTCTGATTCAGCAAACCCATTAAGTATATACCAACAGAAGTGTATATACACCTTGTGTGCATGTGTATACACATACACACGAGTGTCTATAGTCATAGATACGCATGTTTTTATAATCACAAAATCACACTGACCATATGACTATATAGACCATAACAGCATCTGGCCAAGGGCAGACCACAACACAACAGGGATCCCCTAAAATTCTGTCGCCTAGTGAAATCGCAGCTGTCCTGGCTTTATAGGTAAGTGCTACGAGGAGATCAAAAAGCAGCAGAATCTCCTAGCAGTGCACTTCTCAGAACACATCCCTGTAGTTAACACAGGCCTCTATGTATGTGTCACGCACACATGCGTGTGTCTATGTCTGTGTGTACATGGGCATCCGTAATGGCCAAAATCTGCCACCCCCAACACCCACCAGCAGAAAGCAGGGTGATAAATGGTGACCTGCTTGTATGTGGAGTACTACACTGCACTGAATGGAAAACCACAGCAGCATAACACAAGTGAAAGAGTCAGCCTACAGCAGGGACACTGTGACTCTATCTATATGAAGTTGAAGAACAGGCAAAACTACTCTCAGAACTTAGCATTCCAAACAGTGGCCACCCTTAGAGTGCGCTTAGTACCAAAAGTCTCCAAGGGTTTGGTAATATTCAGTGCTCTCCCCGAATCTAGATGCAGCTTACCGTGGTGCACACCTTATGCTGAACACAGGCAATCTGTTCAGTTCTAAATATGTTGTATGTCAATTTAAAAACTCCCCCCTAAGGGCTGGGGATATAGCTCAGTGGCACAAGTACCTGCCTGGCAGCACAAGGTACTGAGTTTGATTCCAGGACCAAAAAAAAAAAAAAAAAAAAAATTACCCCCCAAAAAAGTCTTAAAACAGATTAAAAAAATTTAAAAGCCAGGAGAAAATGGTTTTTTAAAAAATATATTTGGTACAAGGTCTCACTGTGCAGCTCAGACTCTAGTGATCCTCCTGTTTTTGGCCTCCCCAGCACTGGGATTACAGTCATGTGCCACCACACCCTGTCTCGGTGTCCAGCTCAGCATGCCACGAGGTGCTGGGGATCAAACCTTGGTCCCTGCACTTGCTGAAGCAGGCACTTAGTCTTCTGAGCTATTTTGCTGGCCCTACAAAATGGACTTTGATCTAAATGGGTCAATAACCCAATACCAACAGATTCCATCACCTTCTGCCCCTGCTGGTGAAATCTGAAAGACACACACACCATATTTGAGGGTATTTTCCTATGCATTTAAATAAATGGTAGTGATATTATAAAACTTCAATACTGTATTAAAGAAGTACATGTTTTTAAAACTGAAAAGTTAATTTTTCCAGCCTTACTTCTGTGAAAAGAAAACTGGAAATGTATTGGGCTTAAATGTTCAGCGGCTACCAGAGCACGGGAGGAACTCTAGGCCTGGAAACCACGTCCATGAAGAAGCCAGGGTCTAGGAGCAGGACAATAACCGGCAAGGAGATTCTGGGACAGTGGTAAAAGAACATGGGCCGCTGACAGAAGAGTAGAAGTCACCAAGAGGTCCCGAGAGGGGCGCCCTGCACTTCCTGACCTGGCGCAGGAAACCACGGCTGGGCGTGGGCAGCCTTGACTGCAGAAGGAAGTGGCTTCAGTGGATCATGCACTGGAGGTCGTAACCTTGGACGTGCCCTGCGTCACCCGTCACCCGGGGATGAGCAAGGCAGGTTTACCCTGGGGTTCTGTCTGTTGGGTGCTGCTTCTAAATATATACACACTCACTCACTTAAGACACTCAAATATTTACCATGACTGGACAGAACCCCCCAGGCTTTTGGGTTCAGTGGCCCCAGCTGCTCATCAGAATAGCAGTAACCTAGAATCTGGCTATCAAGCCTTGGGGATCACCTGAGTCATCTGCATGAGAAGGGAAGCAGTGAGCCTGAAATAGAATATCAAGAATTTGCCAAACAATAATCTATTCCCTAGTCGCTTTCACTAACAGAGGGAAACATTTTTTAAAAGGGCACCTCACCACCATTTGTGAATGCTATTTATTCTAAGTAGATGTGCCTTCTTAATTGTGTGACTTGAGGTTATCCAAAAAACGTATCTGCCTCTCCCCAAACTGAGCAAGTGCATGGGACCCGAGGGAGAATGTCAAGAGCAAACTGGAGGCAGGGATGCCCGATGAGCCAGGAAAGCACGGGCACCACTCCTGGGATGCCTGACCCGGCCTGGCCTTGCCTCCTGCCCGGCCCAGCTCTTCCCTACAACCCCTGATTAGTCTTCCCCAGTGTCACAGGGTGACATCTTCACTCTGCCATCACCGTTAAAGAGGCTAGGTGGTGAGGGCACACGCAAAGCACCGTGGAACCGCACTGCGGTCTGGAAAGCGAGCATACTCCAGAATCCAGACACAGCGCTCCTCCCCTCACGGTCATGTTAGTCATCTTCCTCTCACTGGGCACAAGCCCCCACACTCACAGCTTAAAGGAAGAGATGCCAATGTGGCTCCTGTGTCAGAGGAATTCAGTCCACAGTGGACTAGCTCCAGGCCAGCAACATGATGGCTGAAAGGCATGCTCCAGAGTAGAGCTGCTTATGGCTCACAGCAGCTGGGAAGCAGAACAGGGGCAGACTGTCAGACCGGAAGGGGTGAAGTGCCAGACAAGAATCCAAGACCCGGGGCTCACGACCCTCACATCCACCCACTGCTGTCTTCCCCTAGTCACTCGGATGGATCCCAAGGCTGATCAAGATGGCATTCCACACTGAGCGCCACACCATCCACGGCAAGCAGAGATCTGTGCTCTGAAGACTCCTCATTCCCCTGTTTTAGCTGGAAGCAGCCTTGCCAACTGCAGGAGGAGGAGCTGGCAGAGGACAGCTATACCGGGCAGCTGAGATAGCTGGCAACAGGTTGAGTCTTTTATCTGGGAAGCAGTATCGTGTTCACCAGGGCAATGAGTACGCGTTTCCTGCATTTAAGAGAACATTAGCAAGCAGAACTAAGTTCTGTGAGGCAGAGCAAACACTTTAGCTACAGAGAGAAGGAAAACAGCTCCAGGCTAGACTCCTGTCATCCCCGCATGCAGGACAGCTGCTTGCAATGGCTTCTCAGATGCCTGAAAGCTCATTTAAAAGCCTCAGCACCTAAATATGCCAAAAGTTGAAGGTTGTTTTGGTGCACCCACAACACAGCTACACAAAGATGCACATGCACTGGCCCGGGAATATGTTGCTTAAAGGGTACAAATCCATACCATACCTTCTAAGGAGAACCACGAGAGACTGGAGGCCTCTGAAGACACTGAAGTATTTCGCTAACAAGTCTCTTGCTAAAGGCTGACAGGAGCAAGGGACAAGAGCAGAGGCTAGATCAGTCTTGGCCCCGAGGATTCCAACAGCAACTCAGAGCTGAAGAGACAAACTCTCGGGCCACTTCTACAGAACCGGTCCCCTCCACCAAGGCTGTAAGCTCTGTAAGGCTCATGCTTTGGACTAAACTCTGTGGTAAGAAGGCTGTTCTGGTCACCGCTCGTACATACCCGACACTTTCTGCTGCCCAGACTGTGACAATGAAAAAAATGACTGCAGGTATTTCCAAATATCTTTTGAAGACAGGGACAGAGATAAATTTGTTCCTGGTTGTCCCTTATAGTAGTACTATAAAAACCTAGCCTAAAATTATAATCATCCATTTTGGAAAGGATGAAGAAAACTTAGCTGGTCATTGTCTCCTAAGTACACTACGAAGGAAGAAGTCCCCAGTCAGGGGATCCACATCAGTTCTGAGGACTGGGAGGAGGAAATCCCAAAGGAGAAGACAGCTGTTCTATCACCCGCAGGCCTCCATTCTCCAACCCCACAAAACCTTCCTCTTCATAAGACTTAGTTGACCTCAGAGTCTCACAGCCACTCACCCCCACCTAAGTCAGTTCAGGTCCCAAGCATAAGCCACTATCTACCTGGCTACATGTCTGGGACAGACAAAATACATCCTTGGCTCATCCTAGCTCTTCACTTTCCCTGACTCAGCCACCTTGCCCAAAATGCCAGCTACCAAACAAACGAAACCACCACAGCTCAAGCCCAGCCCTCTAGGGCTTTGGGAGTCAAGACACAACACCAGCCAAGAAGGCTCAGCCAAGGTAAAGACACAGACCGAGAACTGCAGGCACAGGAGGGAGGAGCAGACAGAGGGATGACAGTGTGGGTGGAGCCTACAAGTCTATAAGGGGTAGAGCCAAGAAGGCCTCTGGGACAGGCCCAACAGCTTCCAGGCTTTGGAAGAGGAATGATCCTGTGTAACCTCGAACTTGCCCAAGCCGAGAAGACACTGTGTGCACTGCTGAATATAAATCCAGTCCACCCAAAGCTGGGCCTGGCTTGCTCTGGCCAGCCCCCCATCAGCTACAGTTTTGCTAAATTTAGTGCTGCTCCCAGCCACCCAAAGGACACTGCTCTTCGTGTCCATTTCAGGTTCAGCTGGGGACAGACAGACAGAACGGGAGTTGTCAAGAAGGGATCTGCCCTCGAGTGACCCTCTCCCTTCCCTGCTGAAGTCAGGGGCCCAGGGGAGCCAAAGACATGAGAAACCGCAGTCTGAGGTCTCTGGAAGCAGGCTCTGTCCCCAAGGTGGGATGCTAGGGAAAAGGAGCGCTGACCCACGACTGTCACCCTCGCTCTGCCCACTCCTTCACACCCAGGAAGTCGCAGAGTCTGGGGCCCAGCAGCTCCTGCTCCCTCAAACACCGCACAGCATGGGGAGATGTCCAGGTATACCCAGGACAGGGGAGGAGATGCCCTGCAGCACTCCGGAGAAAGAAAGGTATCCAGTCAAACACACAGAGGCCCTAGAATGGAGGGGAAGCTGGTGGTTCCTAGGCCTGGATGCTTGTGGCAATCGCCTGAGGCTCCCAGACATCTGGAGGCCTTGTGCCTCCCACCCCAAAGGCTGAGAAGTGTCAAAGACCCCAGCTGTCAAAGATCCCAGCTGACTCAAAAGTGCACACAAAGTAGGAGCGGCTTAAGGGCCAGACTTCTGCTTTCACAGAGCTCTGCCTCACCACTCAGGCCCACCACTTCCTCTAACATCTCTACACCTCGCTTCACCCACTACAAAGTACACCTCAAACTCAGAGCACCCATCACTGACACAGGGCTATGTGAAGCCGTAAGGGGAAAATCCAGTACAGTACCCGAGGCAAGTGCACAGTGAGAGCTCCATACAATCACAAAGGAGAGAAGAAACCCGCATGCTGGGTCAGCACCACCCAGGGTGGGAGTCTAGGCGTGCTCAGACCCTGGGGCACGGACAGGGCTATCAGCAGGACCCCACGCTCTCTCACCTCTGCACACACCATTCTCCCACTTTTCTTTTCCTCCCCTTGCTCCGCCTCCCTAAATCCTAATATCCAAGGCCAACTCTGAGCACTCAGGGCTCTCGCCCTGACTCACTTCACTGCATGTCTTACTTTAGAACTTCATGCTGGCTACCCTGACCAGCAAAGCACCTGCCAGGGGATGCCTCAGAGAAACAGGCATGTCCTGAGAGAAGGCACGCTCTCCTGCCCTGCATGCTCTTTACCACACTCGGCTGAGCACACTACCATGGACTGATATTTTTGGGATGAAAACACATGTTGAGTTCACAGAGCTAACTGCACAGAGGCAGAGAACTAGCTGCAGGGTCCAGAAGAAGCAGGACCAGCATCCAAGGCCACGGACCATAGGCTCCCACACCATCACAGGGATGCGCCACCACCCCACGCTGCCACAAGAGCCCCTGCTGATTCTCTCCCCAGGCCCACAGCTCCTGCCACAAAGCCACCAACCCCTGCAACTCCTTGAGCCTGACAGCAACCAGGCAAAGCTCTGCCCACATGGAAACCAAAGCAGCTGGCCACCGAACAAGCTCTAAGCCTCTTACAGATTAAAGGTCCTAATTTAAACCTCCACGGAGCAGGGACAAATGGGTCAGCACTCTGCAGGCCAGTGGTGCAGCTGGGAGAAGGAGACGTAGCCACAGGAGCGGGAGAAGGTTCCTGCTTTGCAGGAGAGCGAGCTGGTGAAATCATCGCGCGGGGAGCCAGCTCCTGAGGCCCACCACGACTCTGGGCGAACTCTGACCTCCCTGCCCAAGGAACCTGAGAAGCAGGAAACCAGAAGCAGCACGAGCAGGTCAGGACAGCCTTCTTCGCCCTGCCCTACTGTGCTAGGTGGCAAAGGTCTGCTGCTGAAAGATAAATCACATTTAAAAAGGCAACGAAACGGCTAAGAAGTCAGGATCCGAGAGAAGAGCGAAGGGGCTGGGTTCACCCCATTCTAGGGAACCACTCCAGCCCGAAAGGATGGGGGCAACCTCTGTTCCTCACCCTGCTGAGCCTGTCCAGGCCCTGCTCCCTGGGTCCCTGCCACCAACAATGCCGGGGCAAGCAAGCACCACAGGCAGCCTGCTTCATGCTGGGAGAGCCCAGCTCTGGCCTTGCCGTGAAAAAACAGCCTCTCCCTACATCTGTCTCCATGGAGATGGCCTTGGTGAAGTGGCCAGAACCCACTGTCCAAGCAAAGAACAAAGAAATCCTCCCAGGATGATGTTTCTCGAACATTCTGGACCCAGGCGCGTAGCAAGAAACACATATTATAGCTGGGCTTTGTGGTGCTCTTCCGTAATCCCAGCACTCTAGTTGGCTGAGACAGGAGGGCCCTAAGCTCAAACCTCACCTGGGCAGCTTAGCAACTGCGCAAAGGGGGTGGGACATAGCTCAGTGGGAAGAGCTTGAGTTCAATCCCCGGTACCACAAACATAAGTAAGCAAATAAATAAACATGGAATTTCACAGTGACACTTCACACACACACAAGTGCCTTTGTATATATTTCTCTCTCTCTCTCCTTCCTCCTCCTATGTAAATGGGAGTTTCATGGAGGAATATTCATCTTTACCACAAACTACGTAAGCAGATATTGTGTTACACAACCCGGCACATTTTTCATGCTGGTCTTCCCCAGCACTGACTTCACCAGCACCTCAACTACCATGTGCTTCCTTGGCCACACGCCTGCAGGTCGTCCCATCTGACCTCTGCTTGTCTCACAACACAGGGCCAACACACTCTCCCCCCCACCTCCCCGCACCCTAATGGGGCTTGGACACTGGGCCAACATGGCTCTGCAGGGTGAATAGTGCCACACCACCCTGTCCAACCCCCACTACCTGCATGCAGTGGCAACACACACCAGCTAAAGGGCCGACCCTGTGCTGTAGGCCCAGTGCCTTCTCTTCCAACAGCCCATGTGCCTATCAAGAACACTACAAAGGGTCAGCCAGATAACTCAGTGGACTAAAGTATCTGCTTAGGCAGAGCACAGTGGCTGGGGTTCGATCCCAGGCATGCTGTGCCAGCCCCACCCCTAGGGCGTGCTGAGACAGTGATTGAGACTGGGCGTGGTGGCACACGCCTGTAATCCCAGTGCTTGGGAGGCTGAAAACAGGAGAATCACTACAAGTCTGATCTAAATAAGGAGACCCTTTTAACTCAGTACCAAATACATAAAAATAAATAAATAAACAAAAACTACAAACCCTAGAGGCCTTGCAGTACGTTTGCTTT